GAAACTGATCAGAGCAGCTTCAGCAGCACCAGAGGACTCCAGGCCTTTCTGAATTTTAAAAACCCACATCCCATGCACCCCCTGCACCCCCATCCTGGCCATTCTTTCTGGCTGTTTTCAGATCCTTTCCTTCCAAACTTCTCTGAGTTATTGGGGCCCTACCATTCCCTGTGCAGCTGGAGTCTACCTCTTATAGAGCGAGGTCAGGGCTGCAACAGGCAGGGGTGACAAAAGTCAGCAGAAGGCACTGCCTGCCCTCAGGTGAGCAGAAGAACAAAGCCAGACCCTTGCTAGTTTAACCCAGGGGTGCAGCCATCTAAGGATTTACCTAGCTGGTTCTCAACCAAGCCCATCTATCCAAGGGGTTACCTCAAAGACCTCATGCCCAGTTTGCCACCCAGCCCAGAATCAAAGGAAAAGCCACGTGTCTCCAACTCACCCCGCAACCCTTTTCCTCCTGAGGGGCACAGCAGATGGTGCCTTTCTTTTCACTGAAGGGCTCCCTAGAGCATCACAAGTGCAGAATGCCATCCACAGAGTCTAGAAGTGTCTAGCTGCCTTGATCTAATGTGTGGAAGAGCCTAAACTTTGTGTCATCTGGCAGCTACACAGGAAGTGGTACCTGAGCAGCCCGAGACAGGGATGTGACTGGGGTTTTGGTGGCCACTTCAGGGCATCTCCCAAAGGGCTAACTCCTCTGCTAAAGAAGCAGCTAGAGGCAAGGTATGGTGGTGGCTCACACGTCTAATCCCAGCACTTTGGGAGGCAGAGGCGAGAGGACTGCCTGAGCCCAGGGCTTCGAGAGCAGCCTGGGCAACATGGCAAGATTCCGTCTCTACAATCAATTTAAAAATTAACTGGGTGTGGTGGCATTAGCATGTAGTTCCCAGCTACTTAGAAGGCTGAGGCGGAAGGATCACCTGAGCCCAGCAGGTTGAGGCTGTGGTGGCCATCAGCATGCCACTGCATTCCAGCCGGGGTGACAGAGTGAGACGACTTCGACTCAAAAAAAAAAAAGAAGAAGAAGCAACTGAAAACTCCTCCTAAGTCAGAACCACCTTGGAAGAATCTTCTTTTTGTCCATCCTGCCCAGTCTTCTCTCTCCCATTTCCTCCTCCTGCTGCCTCGAGGATGGAAGGAGAACTTGGGGATGGGGTCCTGTGTGTTGACAGCCGCAGACGTGATGAACTGGTTGGAGGCTCCCCATGTGACTAGCACCTACTGACAGGGGCACAAAATGGAAGTAACTGTGGAGCCTTGATTCTTCTTTGGGGAAGTAACTGTGGAGCCTCGATTCTTCATCTAAATGGAGAGAGTACTCCTGCTTATCATCAGGCTGTGGTGAAGGTCAGAACAAGGCCACAACGCACTGACCCAGTGCTTGGTCACATAGCAAGAGCTCCATAAATAGTAACAGGTATACAGCAGGTACTGGTGGTGGGGCTAGTGGATGGGCTTGCACATCTACAGAAATGGGCCCTCGCATTTCCCCGAGAAATGATAAAAGCATTGCCAGCCAGCTGCGAGTCCCCTGTGCTGTAACACTCAGCAGATTCAGGAAGTGAAGCCATCCATCTGTCAGCTGGGTTGGACCCCAGGTCTGCGTGTGAGCAAGCAGGGGTCACCGTAGAGCTGGCCAAAGTGAGCTAGCCACCCGCCTCAGATTCACATAGGCTCCCCTGGCAGCCCAGAGAGGCTGACATGCATAGGAGGCATGCTGGGAAGGGTCCCCAGAGGACGTCCAGATGCCCCTGATGATTGGGAGGTGACAAAGGAGCAGGGCCAGTGAATCAGTACGCAGCAGGCGCTGCCCCTGGTGGGAGATCAGGTGCCCTTTCCCACACCACGTTCAAGGCATTTGGAGGCTGCTTTTGTATTTCCCAAAGCTCAGCGCGAGAAGTTGGAGACCTGAGACCATGGTCCGATTTCAGACAGAGAAGTGACAGAGGCTGCATTGAAAATGCACTCTTGAGCCAGAGCCGAGGGTGATAGTCCCTCTGGGTGAGGTTCTCTCAGGTTGTCGGGCTGCCTTCCTTTCTTGCCTCACCACCTGTCTTAGCTGGGGAACAAGGCCTGGAATCCATTTCTGAGGACTGGGGCTGCTTGGAGGGGAGTGCCTGACCAGCTCCTGAAAAGCAGCATCTACCTAGAATATGTTTGGTTCCTGAGGCGTGGATGTTTGGTCTCCCCAACCATCATAAGGAAATGGATGCTCTGGAATCCCTTCCCCTGTCCTTTTATTTTTCTCTGCTCCTGTGGGCTGGGGTGGGAGAATGGGGTTGACCCTGGAGTCCTCCTTTCCCCAGCCCAGACCTGGAAAGGGCTTTTCTGTTTACTGCTTGGCAGTGACATGAGGTATTGCCTGGGTGCTGCTATTTTAAAACCACGGGGAAGCCCTGCGTGCTGCTGCCAGCGGAGAGGAAAGAGGTCCCCAGCACAAATGCATGGCATTCTCACAAGTGGAATATTCCACAGCCCTTGGCCCCACTGCCTGCCGTAGTCTTCTCTTTCTCTCCCTTGAGTCTGTCCCCAAACTGCTTCTGGTGGTGCAGCCTCTGTAAGCTCCTTCCTTTTCAGCAGTGATCAGTCTTTGCATGGCCCCTTTGGGGTTCTAGGACCCTTCTTCCATGGGAGCCTCTGTGCATAGACTGTGAATGGCACACTGCAGTTGGGTGACAGTGGCCCTCTCCAACCTTTCTAGAGGGGGCCATTGCTGTTGGGATGAGGGAAGGTCATTTTCTGAGTCCTAGAGTCTCCATCTGTCCAAGGAGCCTGGTGGATCAGCTGTCCATCCCTCAGCGAATGGAGGCAACTGAGGCCCTGAGAGGGGACATGAGGAAGGGCGGCGTGGACTTCGCTGTTCTCTGATGGGGATGGGCAAGGGGTGGGTGAGCACTGGGTTGGGCTCTGTTGCAGGGATGTGACCCGCAGACCATGAGTGGCTGTGCGCTTGCCCTCTGCGCCTACCTTAATGGCTTCCCCACAGCACTGGCGTCCCTACAAGCCACTGCATGGCTCATCTTGTGTAATTAGGTTTTTCCATTGTTGCCCTTGTACATTGTCTGCCCTGATTGTTTATGCAGCCTTCTGGGTGCTTAGATAAGAAATGCCTCTGCTTCATTACCCTTCTTTGGCGATCTCCATCAGAATGATCTGGGAAAAACACCCTTGTCAGCAAAGGCCCAGCCCTTTTGTCACATGGCCTCGCAGGCGCTGCCCTCTCTTAAGAATAGAATTGGTCTTGGCGGTAGGGTGAGTGTTTCTGGGATGGGGATAAAAATTGCCAGGTTTAGTAAAGAAGAATTCCTCTCCTTAAATAGATTTTCACTTGAAAACCTGATGACAAGCCGGGCTCGGTGGCTCAGCCTGTAATCCCGCGCCTTTGGGAGGCTGAGGTGAGTGGATTGCCTGAGCATTCAGGTTCGAGACCCACCTGGGCAACTTGGTGAGACCTCATCTCTACAATAAATCAAAAATCAGCCGGGAGTGGTAGCGCGCGCCTGTAGTTCCAGCTACTTGGAAGGCTGAGGCGGAAGGATCGCCGGAGCCCAGCAGGTCGAGGCTGCAGTGGCCAGGAGCGGTCTGGGCGACAGAGTGAGACTCCAACTCAAAAAAAAAAGAAAACCTGATGACAGAAGCAGCTGAGTCTCAGCATAGAGAGGAAAAAAAAAAACAAACCACCCAAAATCTAAGGAGGCTGGTTTCACCTTGATTTCACCTTGGGACCTAGCAGCCTCCACTGATTCCTCAAGGGTATGGCTGGGCTTTTTGGGCAGAGAGTGGGGAGCTGCATCTTCAGGGTATCCCCCCATCAAGCTAGGGTCCCCTTCTGCACCTCTTATGCAGGATTCCTAGCTGCTCCTCCTCCTTCCCAGCTCAGCGCCCCACACTTCTGCTTGCCATGGTTCTGCCGGTCAGGGATCCACTTTCTTAGGAACTCAAAATGTTTGTCATTCAAGTTCTCATCACTCCCTTCAGAGCTAGTATGTTCTAGGGAACACTTGGTCTTTAGCTTCACAGCCTGTTCTTATTAAAGTTAACTTAAGACCGGGCATGGAGTTACACACCAGATACTCAGGAGGCTGAGGTAGGAGGATCACCTGAGCCCAGGAGTTGGAAGTTGTGGTGAGTCATGATCCTGCCACTGTATTCCAGCTTAGGCAACAGAGTGAGACCTTGTCTCAATAATAAAAATAAAAAATAAAGTTAAGGACACTTTTTTCCTGGAGAAATGTTTCTTGTTGGGGAAGAAAAGGTATTTTTTGTTTGTTTGTTTTTTTAAAGTGGTTGTATAGATGAGGGTTTAAATTCCAGCTTTATCCCTTACTTTTCTGAAGCTCAGGCTCTAGCAAATGGAAATTGTAACAAATGCCTTGCATGCTTTCAAGAAAATAAAATAAGAGGGTGTTCTTGGTTCTCCTTTCTGCCAAAAGGACTCCTTCTCCCCAAACACACACATGCTTTCACACATGCCCATGCACAGACTAACAGACCTGAACATAAAGTAAATAAAATTAAGAAACATCCTGAGCGAGAGAAGTAGCATGACGAGGAGAGCACTGCGGGCTGGCTCCCCACTGTGTGCACTGAAGCCACCGTGGAAGGCGGTCCTGGGGAGCTCCCTTCAGAGTCTCAACTCACGCCACTCACAGGCAAGTGTTGCCTCTCTTGCCACTGCATCTGCAAATAAAATGTGAACTACAGCTGCAGCTGGGTGAAAGTGATCCTCTGTGGTCTTCCTTGGAGGGGCCACTGCTGGTGGGATGAGGGAGAATTCCCTGAGTGTTTGCACAGTAAAATGGTGCAAAAATCACCTATGACTGTGTACCCTGTAGATGATGGCAGCAAGGTCCTTGGAGCCCACGAAGGGTGCCTGTGCTGTGGCATGGCCCTTTCCATCTTGTGACTACAGGCAACGAGTGTCTTTGCTTTGAACCCATCCTAACCAGAAAGCAGTGGTTGTCTTTCTAATATAGAGCTTTTTGTTTGCTTGTTTCTAGAGCAAATCATGGAGGAAAATAAAAAACATGGTGCACTGGTCTCCCTTTGTCATGTCCTTCAAGAAGAAGTACCCCTGGATCCAGCTGGCGGGACATGCAGGTAGACGCAGCTCTCCCGGACGGTCCCACAGGAGATCCCAGCAAATGTGGGGGCGGGGAGGGCCTGGTCCTGGACGCACCGCTCCGGGGATAAAAGCATTCAGAACAGGTTCTCTAGTCTGAAGTAGCTACACTTGCAAGCTGTGGCCCTGACGCTGCCTTGTCAACAAACACAACTGACCTCTGTAGAGTCCATGCCACCCCCTGTTCCCAAAACACACATCCTCCTCTCCCTCAGTCCCTTTCTCTTCCAGTCTCTTTCTTTTTCTCTCAGTCTCTCTCCCAATTGTACTCAGTAAGACAGATGAAGCCATCAGTCTTTATAGTTTGCCCACCATTTGTCACCCTGGACAAAGAAGCAAAGCTAACCCCATCACTGAGCCCCTACTGTGTATGCCCACATCGCCATGGTTCTAGGGGTTGCAACATTAATGGAGATGTAGTCTCTGCCTTGAAGGAGCTTGCCGCTGGTGAAGATGCAGACAAGTCTCCCCACCACCGCGAGACACTGTGCACATGTTGGGTGGAAGGTGGCCAGGACCTGGGCCCGGATATGGTCCCCGGTTCGCCCGGCAGTGACAGGGGAGGAGGGACATCTGGAACCAAGACCTCAAAGCCATCTAGCCTACACAGTGGGCCCCTAGGATGCATTGTCCTCTGAAGACACATCAGGGGTTGCCTATGGACTATTGACCTTCATGACTTCACCAGCCTATGGGTTCGTTTCAGGAAAGCTTAGGGTCTGATATTTCTTTTATATCCTCAGCCACATTGGCCCAACCCAAGACACATGGACGCACACTCTGTGTAAAGGCCTAGCTGAGGATCTCAATGAGAAGAGGTACCCCCCAAGTGAGCTGAGCCCTGGACCACCCCCCTCAGCCCACTCTGCCTCTCCTGCCCTGCCTCTGCATCCTGTCCTATCAGGGCTTCTCTGTGGAGGCCAGGAGACACCTTCGTTGCCGAGAAGCAGAGTTGGCGATGGGGGTGAGCGTGATGGTAGTCATACTAAGGAGTGTTTAGGTCTTGGTGCTTAGATTGCTCCCACAGCCCTGTAACCCCCCAGCGGTGAGCACCCCTCATCTTCAAATGAGGAGTCTGGGGTCAAGGAAGTTGGGGAACAGCTAAAGTGCTCAGTCCACAGGGGGACCTTAGGCACACCTTCAGCCCCAGGCTTAGCCATGCCCGGGGTGCAGCATCCCCAGGGAGGCCAGGCACTGTGCCGGCTGAGGCTGGGGACCAAGGGTCTTCTCCCACTTGCTCCACAGGGAGTTTCAAGGCAGCCGCCAATGGCAGGATCCTGAAGAAGCACTGTGAGTCGGAGCAGCGCTGCCTGGACCGACTGATGGCAGATGTGCTGAAGCCCTTTGTGCCTGCCTACCATGGGGACGTGGTAAAGGATGGGGAGCGCTACAACCAGATGGACGACTTACTGGCTGACTTCGACTCGCCCTGCGTGATGGACTGTAAGATGGGCGTCAGGTGAGCCAGGCTCCTCACAGCCCGTATGCCTGCCTCGGTGCCGAACCCGGCCATGCAGCGGATGTCCAGAGTGGCACTCAGGGTTTCCTGGAGGCTTCATGGGTGCAAGGACAGGCCCAGCGGGCTGTTTGACCATCTAGAATCCTCCCCACTCCCAGGCAGCTTCCAGTATGTACAGAGGGTGCAGGGATGTGCCGTGACAGTCCCTTCCCTTTTCTGGTGAGCCAGGGTAAGACAGGGTCCAAGGGCAGATGGAGCCAGAAAGGGGTGCCCTGGCTAGGTCCTGAGCCTCTCCAGAGAGAGGGCAGAGAGATCTGTCCTCAGGTCAGGTGGGTCTGCTGGGAGTGTGGGAGGAGCACCAGACAGAAGGCAGCAGGATGGTGACTTCTGCTATGTGAGTTGCAAGGAGGCTTGGGAAGCGAGATCTTCTCATTCCCCAGCGCAGGTGAGTGGGAAGAGAGGGTGGCTAGTAGGGCATGATGGCTCCCCAAAAAAGACTTCTGCCTGCCTGGGAGGCCAGGAGCTCAAGAGGCCCACATGGAGGACTGAGTGGTAGCTAGGTCTGTGTGCTGGACTGGCTCCCACCCTCCGGCTCCTGCCAGGTCTCAGGGTCACCCTGACGTCTGCCCTTGAGATATGCCTGGAGAGGATCCTGGGGGAAGAGGAGAAAGGAAGAAAGGAGGCAGGGCAGGGAGTAGAGGGGGAGCCTGAGGCCCGGCCACCCCAAGCTGCGGCCCTTGTGCTGGCTGTAGGGTTTTCTCATCCCCTCTCAAACCATGGTGCTTCCATCCCAAGTCACCTGCACGGCCCCCTCTCCCCTGTGCAGAAGGACTGGTGGAACCTCTCTGAGGCTGTCGGCCCACGTGGTGTCCAGCGTACTGTGCTCACCCAGAGAGCCTGGCCAGGCTTCAGGTGCTAGGCTGGATGGCCAGATACAGGGATCCTCCATCTCACCTGGGAGACCAGGCACAGAGAACTGAAACCTGTATCTTCTTTGGATGGTTTACCCAGTCATTTCTGGAAGTCAGTGGCCCCAGGGATACACTTGGACAATCCCAGAGCCAGGCTGTCTCAGAACCTGCCTGCTCCTGGGAGGCTGCTGGGGACAGGCACCCACCCCTGTCCCAAGACTGCCTCCCATTTCCTTGACTCTGGCTGCTTCTTTCTTACTGCATCTTAGGGCTCTCAGGAGAGACCCAGAGTGACTAATGAGGGTGGGACAGCTTAACCCAGTCCTGGGAGGGGACTGGGGCCGAGGGATGGGAGGAAAGAGGAGTATGTGTGGAGGCTAAGTGGGGGGGGGGGTCTTCCCAGAACAGGGCCCCCTCCAGCCTCACCTTCCCTGCACATAAATCCTGAGACCCCTTCCTGCTCCAAGCTGTGCTAGATGCTTCTGTTATTTATATCCCTTTGCAATCTCACTGCTATCCTGGGGAAAAGGGTCTTGTTCCAGTCTGAGCAGGATTCTGACATCCCAAGGTTCATTGACTTGTAAGGGCCGCCCAGCCAGATCTGTAAGCTCCCGGCCACGGTCCAGCACTTCCCAAGGAAGCTGTGTGAGACTCAGCTTCCATGGGGTCTCTCTAGTGTGTCCAGCTATTTCCATCCTGGCCGTGGACTGTGGTGCTCTGCCAGGTGCATCAGTCCAGATCCCTTGACCTCAGAGCCTCTCCCGAGACCAGCTGCCTAGAGTGTGACTGTCTGTGCCAGAGGGAGGAGGCTAGAGCCCAGGGCCACTTCAGACACTGAGTTCCAGGGCATGAGAGGTCAAGACATGTCACAGGGAAGTGGAAGGGCTGGTGGGCAAACACAACTTTGGCCGTAGTGGGGCAGAGGGGTGATGCTAAGGAGAAGATGATGCAGATGCTGCTGGTGCCTTCAGCTAGGGGCTTCTTGGGACTCTGGCTCCATGTAGACATGTGCTCATGTGACTCTGGGGAGTGCTCATGGATTTGGGACATGCCCTGGAGAGTCAGCAGTGTCTCCCTGACATCGAGACCATCCCGGGGAGCGGAGACGAGAACCTGTCTCCAGTACCTCTGCCCTTTAGAAGCCACTGGTGGCTTTGGTCTGCCACCTGTTGGCTCCCCATGGCTGGCTCCCCTTCCGAGGGAAGTACCTCCCTCACCTAGTTTTGAGTCACCTCCTCACCCAGCGTCCTGTGATTGGATAAGCAGGTCTCTGTTCCCCTGCTTGGGGTGGAGCTTTAACCTTCCCCATGGGGCAGACAGGCAGTAGGGAGGCTCTGAGACTCACCTCTCTGTGGGCTTCCAGGACCCTCCCATCCATCTGGCAACCCTTGTGGGTTTCTCTCCCCAACCCCTCTCTTCTGGCAGTGAGGGACTGCCTGGATGGAGCTGCAGAAGCCCATTTTGGAGAAGGGTTGTTTTTGGAGAAAGGCCCATGTGAAGTTTGCTTCCTGTTTAGGGAGCTACTGAGAGCTCTTTGCAGAAGTGCATCCACCCACCTACCCACTCTGCAGGCTTCTGCAGCACACTTGGGAGCATTTAGGATGAAGCGTCTGCCCCAGCCTGGCTGCCCCTCCCTTGCCCACAGTACATGCAGACCCTCACAAAAGCCTCTGCCTCATGGCTTCTGTCATCCCTGACCTGTCTCTGCATGCACAGGAGGGTGGTGTGTGCACATCCCTGCCTATGTGCACCTGTGTGTGCATGTATGCACGTGAGTACAGGTGTGTGTGCATGCATGTGCATAAGCACATTGCATGAGTATGTCAGCCCATGTATAAACAAGAATACATGTGTGTGCATGTGTGTATGAGCACGAGTATGTGCATGTGTGCATGTTGCATGCAAGCGCCCAAGTGAAAGCTGTTGACCTCCCCATCAGTCTCTGTCACCTCCTGTAAGGACCTAAACAACCAGGCCTAGATTCACACCCAAAGGATTTGGTTTCTTTCTTCCCTTTTCCTTCAGTACAAATTTCAGTTGATACAAGGGTTTCTGAAAACTTGTAATTTTTAAGACGTCACCATTTTTGTTCAGTCCGTTCTGGGTCCCAACTTGGAGGTGTGGTGGGCACCTTGGAACAAGGCCTGGAAGACAGTTGGGGGAGCGTGAGGGATGGGTTGAGGGCTGGGTGGGGCCTCTGTGGGCAGCTTCCACCCACGCAGGGCAAAGGGGAGAAGACTTCCCCATCCTGCAACTGACACTGCTGATTTCTGTCTTGTGAAGTGCCGTGGGCAGCATGTGAGCCTGTTGTGGGGAGGGAGGGGGCTTCAAAAGGGGAGCAGGGAAGAGGGGGTGGGTGACTCATCTCACTGATGGTGGCAGAGGCAGCCCAGTGGATGTGTGTGGGCTCTCCTGGGGTGGGGGGGAGTGTCCTGGCAGCCCGGGGCAGCTATTCAGCCCCAGGCTACTCAAGTCCTGTACTGTCCTTGCCCCTGTTGCCTCCCCCGGTGTCTAGGTGCTTCCTGCCAGTCCAGCCTGCAGGCCCTGTCTGCATGTGGGGAGCACAGGGCCGTGGGACAGTTTAGCTGGAGGCACTTTCTCAGGATTTTGGGGCTGAGGGCTCGGGTATGAGCAGAGCTGGTGTCGGGGTGGGATGAACCAGGTATGCACCCAGGATGGAGCAGGAGCTAAGGAGCTCCAGGCTTTCCAAACTTCCCGTTATGGGCTTCTCCATCTACACTGTGGCCACGTCCAAGGGCACCTTCTGGCCTGACCTTTGTGCTCAAGATTCCCCTCTTCGGAAAGGGCCAGTGACCTTGGGGGGCAGGCCCACTAGGCTGCCTGAGAACGGAGGGGTGGGGAGGTGAGGACAGAACCAGTTCTCCAGCCAAGGCGCGGGCTGGCTTTATGGAGGGGCCTCAGGCAGCCAGAGGAGACCCTGTTCTCAGTCCCCTCTCCCACCCTCGCCATAGTGGGAGGAGCAGGCCAAGCCTCCAGGCTGCCCCGCTGTCTCCTTCCCTTTTCTGCTGGCCCCTGAGGGGCTCTCCCCAGGAGGAGCTCTTCAGGCTTTGTCAGGCCTTCCAGGTGGTCTTCGAAGAAAGGTGCTCCAATTTAGGAAAACCACCCTTTTTCTCTTCAGATCAAGAGTCAACCCCAGGCTGGGAGCAGTGGCTTATGCCTGTATTTCAGTACTTTGGGAAGCGAAGGCAGGAGGATCAGTTGAGGCTAGGAGTTCAAGATGAGCCTAGGCTACCTAGTGAGACCCCGCCTCTACAAAAATAAAAAACGTCAACCCTGGTTGAACATGCGTAGCCCGCCTCAAACCTTCACCCGCCAGGCAGAAAAGGAGCTGCCGGCAAGCTGTGCCCTGGTCCACAGCCCTCATGTGGCCTCGCCTCCCACGCAGGACCTACCTGGAGGAGGAGCTCACTAAGGCCCGGAAGAAGCCCAGCCTGCGGAAGGACATGTACCAGAAGATGATCGAGGTGGACCCTGAGGCCCCGACTGAGGAGGAGAAGGCGCAGCGGGCTGTGACCAAGCCGCGGTACATGCAGTGGCGGGAGACCATCAGCTCCACAGCCACCCTTGGGTTCAGGATCGAGGGCATCAAGGTGAGGCTAGCAGGGTACTGCCCAAGGCTGCCAGGGCCGCCTGTCTCCCCACCAGCATCCACTCCAGGGTTCCTGGCTGCTCTCGGGTCCCTTCAGAAGCTGTGAGCTTCTCCTGACACCGGCCCAGGGTGTGAGCAGTCTGCCCCAGGGAAAGATGTTTGGAGATGCAGATCTGTTCCTCTGAGGCACAAGGCGGGATGGCTGTGTACAGGCTTGGGCCTGAGAGCAGGTGACTTCTGGCCCTGCCCAGCCTCAGCCCTTTGCTGAGAACTCTTCACTTAACCTAGACCATGCCCAGCACTGAGAAGCCCAGACGGGAGACAGCTTGTGGGATGCCCATGGGGGAAGCTGTTTCATGCTGCTCATGGCCTGCAAACCGGGGACTGCCAGTGAGTGCAGAGAAGGGCAGAGTGTGCTGCCTGCCTTTAATTTTGGAATCGGGGTCCCTCAGAAGCCTTATTCTCTCCTCTTTCCTCTTCAGTCTCCCGAGAAGGGTCTGGGAATGCTTTCCCTCGCCCCGGGCCCCTGCACGTGTCCTTGCCGTGAGATTTGCAAGAGACACACAGACACAAACTTCACCCCAGGGGACAGGGCTATGGGCCATGGACCCCTCAGGGCTGTTGGGTTCCTCCAGAGCAGATGGTGGGCCCTGCAGCGTTATTGGGTCTCCCATTCTCTGTCCAACCTTGGTCCACAGCATCTCGTCTCGATGTCCATCCCTGAGCCCTGATGGGAGGCTCCCCTTCCACCTCTTTCCAGAGGGCATTTAGATGAAGCGTCCTGGCGGCCCAGGACAGCTATTCAGCCCCAGGCTACTCAAGTGCTGTACTGTCCTTGCCCCTGTTACCTCCCCTGGTGTCTGGGTGTTTCCTGCCAGTTCAGCCGGTAGGCCCTGCCTGCTTGTGGGGAGCACAGGGCCATGAGACAGCTTAGTTGGAGTAGTACAGGTTCATGAGAATATGATTTCTTGTCTGTGTCTCGCTGCCCATGGTGGCACATGGGAAACGTTTTCGCCTTTGCAAGCTCTGGGCAGAGACAGCCATTTATCCCCTTCCTTGACTTTTGAAAGCAAACCTCCCCTCTTCTTTTGCATCCAGCTGTGAGACTGGATGCAAATGATGCGCTCCCCCTCCTTCTCCTCTTAACGCTCACTTTTCTTTCTTCCTCTGTTTGCAACAACCCACTTTCCCTCTACCTCTCCCTTTCAGGCAGGATGTGCTCCTGGTCTCTGTCTATTGTCCAGCTGTCAGGACAGGCTAACAGCCCGTCTTCTCGCTCAGAGAGGAGCCAGCTGTCTTCACCATCACTTGCCCCTCCCCTGCCCTGGGTTAGCAGAGAGGCTGCACCTGGGGTGTGCCACCTGCTGCCCTGGCTCCCAGCCCCTTGTGCATGAAGGGCCATACACCCTTGGGCCTCGCCATAGTTTTAACTAATCTCCAACCTGGAAGTCAACAGACCCCAGTGTTAGGGCTCCTAACTGAGCTGTCCTTTCTTACCCTTTGTCCCTAAAGAACAGATTTCTTCATAGGTAAACAAAGGCCACAGGCTGGCCCAGGGCAGCCTGAACAGAGGCAGTGTCCAGGCTGAGAAGATGGAATGGGGTGGACTAGGGAGCAGAGGCGGGTAGGGCGGTATTCAGTCGTGGCTTTCAGGGACCCTAAATTAAGTGATCTTAGAACATAAGGAAAGTTTAACTGAGCTTGAGGTAGGGAGCACCTCCCTCCTGTGTGTGCTGAGGGAGTGCACCTCTGGACAGCAGGGGCCTTCGACCACTGGTTCCGGGGCCATGCCTCCCTCCCCCATTCTTGGCCTCCATGTCCCTCACACCTCTGAGCCTTTCCTGACACGGTTCACTCTGCCTGGGCCACCACTGTGACCCTCTGTGTGCTCCTCAGGATGCTGACTGGACGCTGTGTGCATCTGCCTCCTTGTGCCTTCCTATATGAGGCACCTGGCTGCCTCCGCTGGCTCTGAGAGTGGCCTGGGGGGTCAAGATGGGGCTTGCCTGCTCTGTGGCCATTTGGTGGATGAGCATAGTCCCAGCCCGTGGTCCTCTGCTGACTCCCTCCTGGGTGGGGTGTCGTTCTCCTCAGAAGGAAGACGGCTCTGTGAACCGAGACTTCAAGAAGACCAAAACGAGGGAGCAGGTCACCGAGGCCTTCAGAGAATTCACTAAAGGGAACCATAACATCCTGGTGAGTCAGGGCAACTTCTGAGAGACCCTCTGGGCCGACCGGGGAGGGCTAACCATGCCAGCCCTGCCCTTGTCTGAGCCGGGTCGTGGCAGTGGGTCCACGACCCTGAAAATTCCAGACTTCTGCTTGGAAGGTGACATGGTTGTCCCAACATTTGGTGAGTAGACAGGGACACTTTGTGAACACTCACGGGACTCTCCTTTTGCCACGGACATCACAGCTTCAGAAAGCATTGTCTCAGAATCCTCTCAGGGGAGTGGTAACTGCTGGATTTCTTTAGCACCTGCTGCCTGCCAGGTACTGTGCTAAGTGCTCAGCAAGTCCTCACAGCAGTCTGCTGGTGTGGGGCATTCTTGTCCTCATTTTACAGATGTGGAAACTGAGACGTCAAGGATACACAGCTAGGAAGGGACAAGGCCAGGCAAGCTCTGGGGTCCCTGCCCAGCATGGCCAGCAGCCTGCTGGTCCCTGTGCTCCCTGATGCCTCCAGGCCTGGCCAGGCCTCCACCCAGGCTGTGAGGCCAAATGGGGGTGGTGTGCCTTGGGGCTCACACTGCCCTCCCCAGCAAGAACTGGCTGACTTTCTCAGAGCCTGTGAGTAGTACAGGTTCATGAGAATATGATTTCTTGTGTTCGCTGCTGCAGCAATTGACCCACTAGGATCAGAACTCTGACCCTACCTCCTGAGTTAGGGTATGTTATGCCACCGTGCCCCACATGCAAGGTGCCCTGTGACAGATATTCAGGCGCACCTGGGACATGGGTCCTGGAGCCCCCAGAAGAGGCACCTTCTGAACAGGCCCCAGAGCAAGGAAGGGTGGGCCCAGGCAGCTCTTTTCCAAGGAGACTCAGTGCCTGCTGGAATTAGGAGGCCTCCCCTCCTCCCTTTTCAGCTGGGAGGCTTCTCTTGGCCCCTGGCATGTTCTAAGGCTGCAGGCATGGGTAATGCAGCTGACTCTTCCATAACCCAAGCCCTGTGGCTCCTGGGTCACCTGCAGGGGAGGATTTCGGTCCCTTAGCAATGTCCACCACAGAGAGTGCTTCCGAAAAGGGATTTATTCCTGGTGCCGAGCACTCCAGGGAGCTGCCTGACTGGTTCTGCCAGCTGTCACTGCTGTTCAGATGGACATTGGGGAGCCTCATGTGCCTGTGTGTGATGGGCTTCCCTGGCGGCGACCCAGGCGGTGAGACCCACAGAGTTGGTCCCTAGGGAGGACAGGGCACCCCCAGATCCAGCACACTTCAATCCGGGTTTGAAGGGATCCAGGGAGAGGCCACTGGCAGAGATATCTGTGACTCTCCCACTACTCTACCCTTTCAAAAGTCAAGGACTCTGAAGTTTGTATTCTGGAAGACACCATGGCCACCGTGGTCAGGATGCTGCCTCTGGACTGCTGGCATCCAGCGTGGACTGAACCCTCATGGGAGGAGCCCCCAGAGGCTGCATGGTTGTCCTGCCCCCGGGATGGTATAGAGTGGAGTGGTGGGCCCCAGAGCCTGGCCGTGCCCTCTTCTCTGGGCTGGAATTTCTTATTTGGGGATGAGGTTGGAAGAAATGATCAGGGTGTAAGGTCGCTCCTGCTTCTATAGACAGTGATTCTGATGAGCTAAATTGGGCTTAAAATCTACCCCCCACCCTCCGCACTGTGTTTAAAATTTGGTCACTTCTCTGTTCCCAGGTTGCCTACCGGGATCGGCTGAAGGCCATTCGAACCACCCTAGAGGTTTCTCCCTTCTTCAAATGCCATGAGGTAGATATTGGGCTTTGCCCTCTGGGGCAGGGAACTGAACGTGCCAACAGACGTGGGGCAGGCAGGATAGGGTGGTGGTGGCCAGGTGTTTTCAGAGTGGTGCAGCCAGGGGCAGGTGTCAAGGATCAGCCCCCTGGCTTCACAGGGAACCTTATCCTTTTTTTTTTTTTGAGTTAGAGTCTCACTCTGTCACTCAGACTGGAGTGCAGTGGCCGCTTCTGGCCATTGCAGCCTCGACCTGCTGGGCTCCGGCAATCCTTCTGCCTCAGCCTTCCAAG